GGATAAGTAAGAACGTTTGCAGAATACGTGTACAGCATGATTGATAACGTCCTCTTAGTTACGCTTGAATGTAAGAGCGCTTGAATATGTTGTATGTAAGTAGTTTTGAAAAAATAGAATAATAAATTTTAATGATATTATATACATGTAATAATAACTGCAACGCCAATTGCGTAATATTGATAACAAAGTATTAATAAAAGGGTAGAAAGATATATAGAATATAAAGAATTATATTAGTTTCTATAAATTTATATATATTTGTCATGACTTTATATTCACTTTCTGCACCATTTTCGCAATTCACTTCTCAATCATTAATAAAAATAATACACGCAGTAAAATCTTACTTACTTATTAGTCAAAATCACGAGACACTAGACAGAGTAGCAGAGTGTAATTATTTCCATGGAAAATTTATAAATATTCACTGATTATTAGTGAAATATCCCTTTTACTCAATCAGAAATATTTTTACTGACTTGAGAGAGTACGAAGGTATTCACTATATATATATAGAAAAATCTTTTTCTCTCATGTCAAAACTTTTTAAGATTTTGATATGATTCATTCTTTGCGAGGCAGTTGTTCCGAAATGCATATGACAAAAATAAAGATCACAGTGTAGCAATCGAAGGACTCCTCTACCTTCTAGATATTTCACTTCTTGCGATCAAGACACTCCATACTTAAGCGTAACAAGTATTCAAACCGTCATTACCAGACATATAGGATGGGGAGAAAAATGCATCGAAGTGCGGTAAGCGGTGCACCGATCGACGGTCACGGAATCTGCGAAACTACGAGCGAGCGGGAGAAAGTTCTCGCGAGATGCAAGCGCAATTACAGCGAGCGATAAAAGTGCCACTTAGCACTATAATCTGCGTATATTTTTATGTCCTTTTGATTTGACAGAGAAACGACAGGCAACGAGAAATCAAAATGCCACTTTGCGCCGCAATTTGTCCATGCGTTTTCACGTCGCGTCGGCATTACCCCTTCATTCCTGTGAGCAAAACTACTCGAGTTACGAGTGTTTCTCGCACCGTGCGACAAACATTCTTTTATATTTCACGCCGTGTCGTATGAAATTACGAGAATTTGCAATATCTTGCGGAATATCTGCTTTCATTTACTCCTCACTTAATGCCGTCGATCGTACATATAATGTATATATCTTCAATATTTATCTTTCAATTCTTGAAATCAGGATAAAAAAATTTGCTTTTTGCATAATACCTTTTAATGACACTATAATAAATGCACTAAAAAAATCTAACACAAACTTACTTCATCATAGAGCTACTAATGAAAATAATTGTTGAGAGTTCATCGTGCGATGGGAAGTCGGTTGTTCCCTAACTGTATCGTGAATTACGAAACGCCCTGCATAAGTGAAAGAACTTGAGCGCCGGCGATTAGAGTTAATCATCTTATCAAAGGAGACCAGACATATTTTTAAAGCGCGCTGCTTCGGAGCGGAGACGGACCGTCAGCTTTAGGAAGTCTCCGACGAGGCAGAGGGAACAACATTGGGTACCGCCGACGCGGTCCTCTCGTCGCCTAATTGAATGGCATTTTATTTAGCACAGTTCCCCGCACTCTAGATAGCCGCCATTTACCTCAATTACGTAATTCACCGTACACAACCGGCCACGCAGCTACCCACCATGGGCATCGCATGGTGATGGCGTAGCCGATGGTACTAGTGGTGGTGGTGATGGTGGTAGTGGTGGTGGTGGTGGTAGTGGTGGCGGCGGTGGTGGTGGTGGTGATGGTGGTGGTGGCGGCGGCGGCGGCGGCGGCGGCGGCGGCGGTGGCAGTGGACTGATGACACGTGTTTGCGCTACCGCCGCCGTGCAATTAGCCCCCCAATGTAATTTCGCGCCGTAAGAGCGTGCCACGCTCTTTTGGCCTAGTGCCGTTCCCGCGGGCGCATCGGTACACTGGTATTACGAAGAGGGAAGTGATTTCGTCCAGGGCACGTAGGGAAATTCGAGCCCCACGACATCCTCCATATTTTACACCCGACTTTTGCACTTTTGCACATCGCATTTTCCACAATTAATTGGCATCATCGGTATCCGCTCAGTCGATCTCTTGTTTCAAAGACGCCGCTCTCAGAATGCAACAGTTCTCGGAAATTTTGCTATTAATATTATTATTGCGCAATAACAGCATACAAATGACTCTCGGAATATTGAGAGATACATACGATATATCTTCGATATTCGCGTAGATAGCTACTTATGGCCGATAAAACTGTATAATTAATGTTGCGTTCTTTTCAGAATATCGAGAATGAGTGTTCGCGTAATCGAAGCACCGAGTCGATATACCAGTGGAACATGACGCAATGTTAATAGACGAGGCATTATCTAGCGAGTAATATCATTGTAGACGATAACCACGCTCAAAGCAGTAATTTGTACTCAGTGACTGATTAAGGATAATTATAATCCAGAAAGAAATGTCTCTAGGTCACTATGCTGCGGCGACGAAACGAGTTCCTGTTTTGAACATTCTGCTTTGCATTTTTAAATGTTATTGCACCAGAGATTATATTTGTTTTATGCACAATATTTTTTACATATAATCACAAGCACAATTAAGTCGAGAAAAGGAAACGAATGAAATATTCAGCTCCCATTGAAAATATTACATTTGTCATCAGTGATTTATGAAAAAGAATCACAGCCAGGCGACGCGTAATCAAAGATCATTTATATTAATTACGAATATCAAAGAAGCGAAGCGAAGATACATGAGCACGAAACAATTTACATTAAATTAATTATGCGTCGTACGGTGTCGATAGTCAATGAATATGTAAGTATGTACGGTAGGTACTATTCATGAACAGGATCTGATCTATTCGTTCACGCGGCTACCACGGTGCATTCGCAGATACTATCGGTGAAAAGGCCTGTCTCATTATGAGCCACACTTCACGGTGAAGTTATTCCACGCTTCTGGTGCCGCCGTATACATTCATAACGCCAAATTGTCCGGTAGAAACTTAATCGTGTTAATAAGATGTAAAGCGAGTGATCATTGGGCGGCGATCGTTAGTTATTTCCATATACATTTTTTACGTATAACATATATTCACAGTGACGAAATAAAGTATAGCAATCTCCTCTTTTGCCTGTAATGATTCACATTTGGCTGTAAATTCATAGATTGTTACGTCGATTGAAAGAGCAAATTTGCCATATATTCATCGATGCATCCAAATAATACCGCATCGACGCATACTTGTTGCATCGACTAATCGCATAGTGGATTATCAGCATTTAATCAGCAGGAATCCTCTTGTCGTTGACGATAAGAAGTTCACCAACACCAGTGTAATCGTCAATCGCAATGTGCATATATGGCAGTAGAAAGGAGAAGGAAAAAATATCGGTCTGTTCAGCTCCACCTCTGTCTGTCGGCGGTCCACTCCCTTCGTGGTGGGTTAATGGGCGGAGCCAAGGACATCTTTTGCTGCCAACATGTCACGGTGTTGGCGCGAATAACATAGCATATGTAAAATAATATCTACGTGGCTCAATCTTAATGATCAACTTCTGACATCAAAAAGATCTGAAAACCTGTTACACCTGAATAAGTATCATGAGCCTCAAGTTGTCTAAATATTGAAAATTGTGAAAAAACATGTTATCTTCTACCGCAAGAATTATATATTCTTTCGCAGGAGAATGTATGAATCCAGTTATAATATAGATTTGAAAAATTAAATATCTAATGTTGATACTAAAATGATATCAACATCCCAGTATTGGGGTATTTGAGTATTCGGATACTACTTATATATTCGAGTATATTCAGGGTGTTTAGCTGTTTTAGTACTCTAACACTCTGATGCTACGCTTAAAGTTGGGTACCGAGAAAATACCCAAATACAGTAACTATTCCTTTTATACTGACAGCAGTATTGAACGTAATATAAATCCATTTATAGTGCAAATTTTGAAAAACCACAAAACCCGATGTTGACACTAATAATGTAAATATTTGAATATTCGAAAACTGGGGAAGTATGCTGCTCGCATACTTGAATTTTCTGAGTGTTTTCAGAATATCACGTTATTTTGATATTGCTTAAATATTTTTTAATACATAAGTATCCAGATAGTATTAACAAATGTTATTATCAGGAAGATATCGGGCCGATGTAACCCGGTTAATATTGCTAGCACTCATAAACACAAATAGAGTTTTCAAAATCCCGGAATCAATCCATCAATGACGACAAAAAATGGATATAACTGAATAAACATATGAATATATTTGCCTTCTACTTTATTAAAAATAGACGGTAAAATGTGATAAAGATTTTCCCTGAAATGGAGATATTATTATAGGAATTCAGCAAGTTCCCTATACTCGCATTCGAGGTTATCGAGTTTTATAAGACTACCCACGAATAAACAACAATTTATCGAAACTGAAATCAACTTTTAACAATTAAGATTTTCAGTATTCAACAATTGAAATGTCACTAATCTTACCTCCTGGACACAATTAGACCGATAGTGGGATTTAGTTAACGAATCTAACAACCAAAAGAATAACAGACGCAATTCCATAACGCCGGTAGCTCGCTGAACGATATCTCTAGACTTCCCCGCGTATTCCGCCGACGATATCTACCGAACCCAACACGCGCGACGAACGAGAAGGATTCTCCAGGCAGGTATAGTGAACACCTTTGCGTTCTAGTCGCCCCGAGGGCGTCCGGGTGGACGTGGGCAGAGTCGGCTTGCAGGAACGCCCGCGTAGATACCATAATGGCCTCCGCGAAGCCAATCGCTGACCATGACGTCACGCGCCAGTGGTAGTGGGATGCGCGGCGCACCAATCGCGAGAGTGCGCGGTGCCCGCCACAGGCGTGGCCTTGAGTGGCGCCACCGCGGCGACTTTCAGAAACGGTGAATCGGGCTCCGGGGAGAGGCTCTGGCTTCATTATGTATCATTATACCGGTCCGCGCCGCGCGGTGTGCACTGCAGTTACTGGAACCAGGCGCGCGTGTGTGCTTTTCTCTCTTCTTCTACGTCGTGGCCGTCGTCTTCTTCTTCTTCCCTACCTTCTTCGCCCAGCCGGTACGTTTGCGTATACATCGAGTGTGCACGACACGCTCATCGGCCAAGTAATCGCGGCGCGACGCGTGTAAAAAGCACACCGTCGCCGTCGACGAGGAGGTACGCGGGCGCGCGTGTGGCACGGTACGGCGTGCAATTAAATCGACGACGAACGCGAGTGTTGGAATACGACAACAGCAACAGATTACCGGTACTGGTCGAGCAGAACGAACCGAAGTTTTCGGCGGCCGTCGCGTAGCCATCCGCCACGCGGATGTTCGCGGACTATCAACGCGACAGTGTTTGGTGACGTCCACCACTCGGAGTGGCACCAACTCGTGCTGCAGTGACAGAGTGACGTTCCGTGACAGGTGTAACGTTGTAACGCGAGTAAGGAGGACCGACATGTCGACGACTTGGTTATGCCGTCGCAACGTAATTCCTCTTGGAAGTCGAGCTACGACGAGGTGACGCACGGCGACCGGACAGTAGCACCGATTGCGGACTTATCGGGTCGGTACAGTGTTTCCGTGCCCGTTCCACGGTGAGGACTACGCGTGTGTAGTGGACGTGTGACAAGTGGTGCCTCGAACTGGGAAATAAAAACATCCGAGCGATTGACGGATACGTGCAACAAGGACCCGAAGCAATCAAAAGTGGATATTCCAATTACCCGATAGTGAATCAGAGTAAAGGGGAAGATAGTGCTACTTGACGAAAACGATACAGTGTGAATAAACAAACAGTGCTTCACTTGTTCCCTCCGCAGTGTGGACTTGGAAACTATCACCGAGTGAACTGGAGCAACCGACGCTGCCGGTTGTTCCTCGCGACCTAATGACCACTCGTCGTGTTCATCCTGACGCTTCGTCGACATAGTTGCACGTAGCACGCGCGGTGTGCTCGTGGAGAGGTCCCAAGATTCGGGCCCCATACGGAGCGCGCGCGGCGGCGGCGGCGACGACGTCGTCGGCGAGTTTGGCGGCTAGGACCTTGGGCTGTGGCGGCGGCATCGACGTCGCGTCTAAAGTGGAGCGTCCGGGCAGCACGACGACGCTCAACTTCACGGATCTGGGGAGCCCATTCGGGGCGGGCGACCCCTGTCCGTCGAGTACCCCGACCCCGAACAGCATGTCAGGCGGTGGTGGACCGAACGGCGGCGGCGGTGGTGGCGGTGGTGGCGGCGGCGGTACCGCCGGTACCGGTGGCGCCGGCTCCGATATGGAGCAGCATCTTCATCACGCGGGTCTCGGCTCGGTGACACCCGGGCCACCCGGTGGAAATGGTGGCGATAGTACCACGTCTAGCACACCGGTCTCTCAAAGCGGCAAGTCCGCTTTCATTGAGCTCCAGCACAACAACCTCTACAATCCCGCGAGCCTACGTGGCGGTTACCCGGGCGGGCACAACGTGCCCGGCGCGCACCAATTCTCGCATCAAGTCGGCTCGCTGGCGCATCAAGGCTCTGGGCCCGGCAGCGGGAATCAGCAGCATGCGGACGCGGGCTTCCCCAGTCCTAGGTCCGCATTGGCCGGATATCCGTTCGCGCCCATGCACCAGCACAACGCCTACGGATATCACCTGGGATCGTACGCCCCCCAATGCCCCTCGCCGCCCAAGGACGGTGAGTACCCCAACTGTATGTATTCGCAGCCTTTTTTATTCCTATTCTTAGATATATATCTAGTTAATCGGGATCTCCGTTCCATGTGCGCGACATCACCGACTTGGACCAGTGCGCTGTGTCGATGTGAAATCGTGGAAAATTGGACGAAATTGATTTCGCGTTCGTCAGTGTGAATCGCTATGATAACTCGGTGTGAAGTTTGCGCGAATACCACCGCGGATGTGTAAAGTGCCAGATCATGGAACGGAGATATCATCAAAGGGCTCAAGGCGGGAACTCTGTGTGATCAGTGACGTATCCCGTGCAATTGGTGATATCATAGAAATCTGGAGACCTGCAATTCAAGGCCCAATGTGGTACCCGATCCCCTCCAGCCGGATTCAAATATAACCTAGCCTGATTTATGTTTGCTTTGGTAAAGTCAGACCTGAGCCAGGCCCGGATCAGTTCCTTATTACAACAAGAACGATCTGATCCAGAGGATCTCATTTTATCAAAGCAGATATATATCAGATTGGATTATATTTGATAATAAATCGAAAGGATCGAGCACTAGTAAACCTTAGATTTGTAGGACTCTGTAGGATTTCTTTGGTTAATCCGTTAACTGTAATCGAGTTTTTATATAAAAGAATATACCAATCAGTCCGATCTGTCACATTTGCAACATTACTCTCAATTTGATCATTGACCTAACAACATAACCGTTAATTATATAAATCAGGAAGTTCAATATTGTCTTGAGAAAAAAAATGAGAGACTTCAGATCATTTCTTCTAAGCGTGTTAAGTCATATATTCACGTCTTGGGCCTTCTATTTTAGATATAAGTAAACAAGGCTCTTTGGAACCACGCGCACGCGTTGGTAATCCAATACTTGGGCGAGTGGAAAAACAAATATCGTACCAGTAACATAACATTCATCTAGAATGATATGGTTACTTTGACGCGAAGTACAAATAAGACAGCGACAGGCGTTTCCAGTAGGTCACTTGCGTTTTACATCGCGACGAGCGCTTTATTGTTACGACTTTATCGTACCGCCGTAGAACTTTATTGCTGCTTAGTGAATATCTTCGACCGCATAAGCGGACGACTTGTACCATATCTTCATCCGTCTTTCGCCGTTGTTCCATGCATAGGAAAGTAAGTCGCTTTGCTACCGCGATTTGCTCGCGTCGTAAGTGTTCTAACTCAGTGTTCTGAGTACCGAGTCATTCATTTACATCGTTACTTCTCCCGTGTCACACTTTCTATGAAATTTACGACTCTACATTTTGAGTTACAAAATTTACGAAAGTTTCTTTGGCACCATTATTACTTGTACCCATATTCTTTTGGAATCTCTAACAGAGATCTCTAATTAGAAAAAAGATAAACGAAAGAAAAACAAGGATAACAGGTAGTGATAGCCAGTCTCGAAATTTTAACGGCACAATACTTCAACAAGGAATAATATATGTGTATCAGGAATCCTAAAAAGTCAAAAGAAACGGAAAAAGCTATAAAAGAGATAGTGCAAAAAAATTCAAAGCAGCAACCGCAATAACGGGCAATCTCGAAAATTTTCTTTGATTATGTCCCCCCTTCTTTCGTGCTTTTTTCATTCTTCGCGGAATCGCATTAGCACGTTGTAATCGCGATTTTAGTCTCACTGGCGAAATCGCCAGTCAGCTAATTGCGATCATTATCGGACGCTCTTCGTTCGTTGCGGATTGCAGAATCGCTCGAGGCATTTTAAGATATGACTGTGAACTTTAAAGTTGCTCATTGAATATTTTATCGCGAAAATTTCATAAAAAAATTAGTTTAATTCAAAATAATTATTTGAGCTCCAGTTTGCAATAAAAAAGTAGCAATCAGAAAAGTCACGATAAATGATGAACCCTCAATTTGTTCAGGTTGTTTACTTCAATGATGATATAAAATTTCAGAATCGCTCGACGCAATTTAAGATAACTATGGACTTCAAAATTGCTTGCTGAATATTTTATTGCAAGAATTTGGTAAAAAATTTGTTTAATTCAAGATAGTCATCGCGAGTTCCAGTTTGCGAATCACAGCGAAACTATGAACATGTAATTCGTTCAGATAGTTTATTTCAATGATACAAATTACGTTATAATTTCGTTGAAGTGCATGTTTTACCTGTTCATAGATGTGTCCAACGCGATTCTTACAGTAGTCTAAACACCATACCTATATACACGTCCGCATCGCGAAATCGCGTGATCGAGATAACTTATTTCGCCCGAGGTAGTCCGCGTGCCGTGAGGCTCCATGCAGTGACATTCGCGTTGGCTTCTTGGTCGATTGCATTTTCAAATACAGTCCGGATACCGGCTGGAAATATCCCGAAGCCGTGGCAACATTCGGCGAATAATTCATCGTGGTGAACATGCGCGCGAAGTATAGAGCAACGAGGAACTCCGTCGACGCGCTTAGGCAAACGTTCGCAAGAGCTTAACCGACCGGTACCGGCGACAGTTCGCTACCCTCCATCTGCGTTCTATGAATTCGTAACGACCACGGTGTGTCCACTCCTCCCTCCTCCCTCTCCACCGCCCTCGCTGCATCGTCAGAGCCGCACTGAAAGACCGGCATTTCTACGTAATCTACCGCGGCGACCCTCGCATCAGTGCGTGGGCAATTTTCGCGGCGCCTCTCTTTCGAAAATTACCGGTGGGCACTCGACGGACGCGAGAGAGCCGCGAAAGGGTTCGCTGCGGAAAAACTTCCACCGGCGGGAAGAATCCGGGCGCGGCGCAATTTCTGCTCGGCGGCGGCGGACGAGTCGTCCAAGCGAGCGAGCGGATGATCGACGCCGGGCTGGGCGATCGCTCGTCAGAGGGTTGAATTCTCACGGAGGGTTGCGGCGCGCGCGCAAGGAAACTCGGATGCGTTTTGCTCTTAAATTGACGGTCATTTTCCTCCGCAACTCATGCGTGGCTCGCTTTTCATAAACCATACGGCGGCGAAACACGCATTCGATCAGCCCTCGGGCCGCGCCGCGAGCTGCATCGCGGGAAAACTTCATCGTAGGGTTGGCATAACTTTAGTATTTCTACGATAAAATTTCCTCAGGATTCCGTCGGGGACGATGCGCGGTCATATATCGTAGCAGTGTCCGAAGTGGTGGTTAAAACTTGCCGCGATAAGTTTCAAACGTTTCTGCATGGAAGCGACATGCGCGAACGCATATGAGTCGACGTTGGAAAAATTGGCCGCCGCGCACAGCGTGTTCAATCCTTGTCTCGCGCTAATTCAATTAATCGAGCGATAAATATATAATTGCAATTGGGGCCCTCCTAATTGCTGACGAGCACGCCACTGTTTGTGCATTCTGCCCGGAGGATGACAGCAATTCCGTCATTTGTTCGTCTGAACACGACTGACGAAGTTTCCCAGATCAGTCCAGAATGATTTTGATTACCCGATTAAAATAACAGTAACGTGCTAATTGCGTGAAGTTTACAATGGGCGCACTGTAACAAGTCAGCATTCATACACAATCGATTCGTGGCTACACTCGTTCCTATAAAATCGCAATTTGTCATGTCATTGTATAAAATTTAGACGACAAAAATTATTATGAGTATTCTGATTGTCGTACACAGAAAAAAGATTTTACTGCTACAGTTAAAGACATGTACTGCATTCAGGTAAATGTTACTTGTTTCAAATATTTCATATGTTTATATATCCGCAAATCTATCGCGAGTTTTCATCATAAGAATCAAATTTATTTAAAATATATTCTGAATTCTAATAATTTTATTATTTCAATTAAGAGTTAAAACATAAGAATTGGTTCAATTTGGTTACTACATAAAATTGAATCTCCTAACTTATTTTATAAAGTTTCATAATATTTTTGTAAAGAGGGAATAAATTACTTTTTTGAGTATATGATAATGAATTTTTCTATAATTTGGGATAAGTATATTTTAAGGCTATTGTCAAGAAAATATTTTTTGTTGAGGTTAATCATTAGTTAAAAGAAGGAAAGTAAACTAAAAAATCATTTTTTTAGCAGTAGATTTTTCTGTGAGTATATTTGTTGTGCAATATATTTGTTTATAACAAAATTTGCTACTGTAATTAAAACTTTTGTTACTGTTGTTATTACATTGTTTTCATAGTTAAATATATCCCTACTGATAACTACACTTTTAGATATGTTATAATGAGATTGAGTTATCATACACATATTCTTGCTGCCATAGCTAACTCTTTTTTCATCTATGGAGAGAGAACGAAAGTGCCAGTGGTCTCGTTAATGTCAATCAACTGACAGGCAATGTCAAGTTACACGGTAATAAGGATACAAATAAAAAGAAGTACATCGTTTCGACAAAATAAAAAATATTATCGCCGTTTTTGTCAAACAGATGTCAGTCAAACGAAATCTAATGCTATAAATCATAAAAGTGATTTATAGCAAAAATCACTCGCTTTTCGCAGCCTGACACTTGCGAGGTCGATCTTTTGATCGTCGCATCGTCACGCTTAGATAAACTTATATAAAAGCCACAATGTTAAGAGTGCATTAGGACACAATGTTAAGAGTGCATTAGGACACAATCGTACAGTGTCAGTTGTCGAACAATTGGTGTCATCCGTCGTGTAGAATGTCAGCAAATTTTACATCACCTACGTTGCTCACTACTGAGCCACTTCGGTTGCGTTTGCTCGCAATCAACGCGCATAAATACGCGATCGTAACGTCGGCGCAATTACAAATGTTTCCTTAGAAGTTACTTCGTAGATATAGAATCGCGTTTCAGTGCTGGCGCCGTGATTATCGCGGTTACTCGCTCGGCGTTAAATGCTCTTACAGAGGAGTTCGACCAACGCTAATGAAGCTGTCCGAGATTATACGAGCATCAGTGACGAGCCGCGAGAGCGGGTGAAGGAAGGGGTTGTCGGTATGTACGCGGACGAGATCCACCGTGTCCACGACGTGTATATTCAGCGTCTTCGCGCGCCCTCAACCAATCTTATCGTCGCGACAAATGAACCGGCGATTAACCGGCTTGTCTCCGCATCCACGTCGCGCCCGTTGTCCTTCTTCCCCCGGATGAACGAATGAACCTGGCCGAAGCCGGAATCCAATTAGCAAGGGTTCCTTTAGTATCGGCCGGCGCTCTGCGATGTCTCGCATCAGTCACTTGACCTGACGCTCGACCACCGCCCGAATTAATCCGAAACGGCTGAAAGACAATGCGTACCCCAGACCCGAGTGATGGATTAGGTATTAAATGGTTGTTTTCACAAGGATTAGGTGGTACATCGACCTGGAAAGCACGGCGGCCTGCTTCTTTCAGATCTTTCGGACCGTGGTTGAATCTTGTACCAATTCGAAATGGTTTGGGGATGGACTGTTCGGATTTGTGCCGGAAGTCGTGTTTTTTCACAGATACACTTCTAAATATATCCCTAAATATCATTCTGCGATCTTCGGTTATTCGGATTCCTATAACAATGACAAGTATCGGGATTTGAATAATTAGAGTTAGAGTTAGAGTTTATTATATCTCTGGAGTAATCTCTTTTTATATAAATCCTTATTTTTATATAATTTAGTTTCTTATATCATTTAGTTCCAAAAACTAATTTTAAATACCCGCGCCGAATAGCGTTCAAAAGTCGTACTAGTTTCGGACTAGAAAGAAGAAAGGAGGCAAACAAGATGGCAACTGAGGCAAGCGCAGTTATACGCAGAAAATTCTTGGTATACATGTAAATCTAAATCTGTTACACAAAATAAAAACAAAAAAAAATAAAAAAACAAAATAAAAACAAAAAGAAGAAAAGTAAAAATAATAACACATCAATAGAGAAAACAAAATTATCTAAACATCTAGAAATAATCCGAAATGACTGAAGTATATATAAATATAAATATATAAATATTATTAAACTAAATTGTGAGATTATTTAATCAAATATTTTATATTAAATATTATTAAATATTGTTAACTATATATATAACATAATTAGAAAACAATTTACATAAATACATTTCACGAAGAGATATAGAACCTTTCTGTCGAATTGTGTATAATATGAATACTAGATAAGATCCCACCAAGCCAAAAGAAAAGAATTTGCAAGATAAGAACACGAAATGAACAAACTTTCAATTTTCTCCATCTGGTGCAATTGAGAAAATATTTCTGATGTAATCAGAAACATAAATTCAACATAAATATCATAAAACAGCTCTTATTCGAGAATTGTGGACCAATCAATTCCAACTCTGAACCTATTGATTGGATTACGAAATTCCCAATTGCAGCCTGCGGCTGAAGAAAAGAACATTTTCGTTTCTAGTTACACCGGAATACACACAAAAAGAAATTCAGGGAACTTTTTCATCATTGGTTACGCGCAACGTGGTAGCGGTGTGGAAATATAAGATGTCGGTTCAGCGACAATGTTAGACAGGTTGTGTTAAGTCCAGCCTAGGGCAGAGACGGACACCTTGTAATTTTGAGTTCTTTGGATTGAGAGCCGCGCGCCTACCGTGTGATTATCAACGTCGCATTAATCGCTCGGTAGGCTTATTATCATACGTTCGGTTCGGTTTGATTACGCGACTCTAAAAGAACCTTCAGCGATGCGAGGCGGCTGTGTACGCGCGTGCACCGCTGCAAAGTAGCACTTTGCGGCAGTTTCTGCCGCAGCGTGCACTTTGCATACGCCTCGCCGTGTTAACAACCATAACCCTATCCCCTATCCTATCCCTCGCAGCGTGAGCTCACGGAGAACAGCGCGAGAGAAAAGTGCGCCCATAAAGCAGTACCTCGGTCTTTTCACGCGCGCGCGCACGAGCGCGCGTGTGCAGGGTTGCGCTCTACCCCGCTCGACATCGCGTCGCCTTAACCGGCTGTAATTAACAACGGGAGCCCGTAATCGCTGCTAACGCCTCTATAAAATTTATTGCGCGCCATGTTACGCACTGATGCATCGCGCGACAGTGTTAACTATCGCGTCGCAATACGAGAGTATTGATAAAGGGAATAATCAATTGTGAAGTACCCATGCATCGTATCAATGATAATTCATGAGATAATTCAACACATTATTCCTGCGCTCTTCTTTTAGCTTCTTTTATCTACTGCTTCGACATCCTTCATTTAACATCTTTGAAAACGGATTATTTTAATATTTTAGTAAGTTGAACGTCAATATCAGTATTATAATATTAGTTTTTCTGATTTTCTTATTGTTTATAAAAACGCTAGTTACATTCATTCCTTTGCGATGAAATTTTAAATGAACAGATAGGGCGAATGACGTTAGCATATGTGAATATCAAATGTGATATTTTTCAAATATTTTCAGTCACAAAACAAACACTATAATCTATTGCTTTTAAATTATACGCCTTACTTATCAAGGAATTGAGGTATTTCACGCCGATTTCAAAGATCGCGCGTGCGCGCGCTCTGCCGATATCGCCTCGGGATTACACGGAGAAGGTAAAAACACGAGCGCAAACACGCGATTGCATCGTCGTGACGCGATGTAAGCTAACGGAAGGTTTATGGAGGATCATTATTGTCTCTTTTACGCGCGATCAAAGTCTCCCCGTTGATTCTCCATCGATCCCCGTCTCATTAATCCTCTTTTGCTCGCCACCGAGGTGACACGTTCATATATAAATCACGCAGGATCACACGCATGTGAGCTCGCCCGGCGGCTCGCCGTAAATTACGCTAATTAATAGTCGAGCTAATTGTTGTGGAGAAGGGGACGACAGAAGGCTCCCGCTTCAAGTTGGCGCGCTGCTTCGCGTCATGTCGCGTCGTCAATTTGCAGCCTCGATGTCGATATCTATGTTTGTTCTTCACTAACGTCGATCGTGCGTCTATGTGCTTTTTCACGCTCGCGATAAAAAATCGCTCTACAAAACACACCTATCGCTATAACGTAAAAAGTGTATACGTAGCACTTTCTTTCTCTTTTTCTCTCTCCCTCTCTCTCTCTCTTTCTCTTTCTCCCGGGAAGGACGAGCGCGCGTGTCTCCCCGATGAAAACACGCAACATTGTAATCGCAATATAAAAATAATGAAATAGATTCCGCGGGAGATAGGCGACGCGCGGGCGCTGGCACGATGCGCGCCCTCTATCGGACTACGCTACTTCATTGCATCGCTTTAAGATTGATATATGGTTTCATAATTAATTACTACGCGGTTAACACACCACCGTAGGGCTTTCCCTCGACGTAACGAGGGCACGCATTTTCTACATTGTGCTAATTATCGCAATACATTGTACGTATTGAATAATGCATTTATTTTATCAGATAATTGCGAATGGCTTGTCGAATAAAATATTCCGAATTGTTTGTGTCATTACTACTGTTTTTTCGTTCTTAAAAAAGAAAAAACAGTGTGTCATTTGGGTTAATTTCAATTCTACGACTCCTTGCGCACTTCATTAAGCGTCTTTTAGTTTTTACACGGATTCCTACCTGTAAGATTCTTCCGATCTGAAAAGTAACTTATAATTAGCCGTATATAATATGCAACGTTTTATCGTAAAAATGAGAACTATAAAGAACAACCGTAATCAATGTAAAAAATTAACATAATTGCAATGCAACTTTACATTCAGAGAAAAAGACATAGTGATGGCAACTATATAAGTGACAACTATATGAGTTTTACATATAGAATTAGTGTATACAATTTAATAAACTATTTTATAGTTATTGCAAGTAAAATATGAAGTTGCAAGTTTATTTATAATACACAATTATATAAATAGTTTATTAAACTATACCTGAGTCGAAATTTTGATCCTATTTTTAGTCTTATTCCATTTAACACCTATTTTGATGCTAAAGAAAGTGAAAAAGCAAATTTCGGAGATCATCAGAGTCAAAGTAGTCAAAGTAAATTGTATCATTAGAATTAAACCTATTTTGCTAACTTAGCTTCTACTGCATTGTAGAATTCAAAATTTGATACAGGGCCAAAATTCCAACTCGAATATACATTATAATTCTGCATACACTAAACTCGTATAGATGTCACTTTATTGTTGTTGTTACTATCCGTTTTCTCTGAATATGTGTATGGTTACAACTGTTAATTTAAAATCCTCTTTAGAAACGAATATAATTTATTCTTTTTATTTTTGTCACGCATCGACTATTCTTTTCATATATTTTCTCGCATTATTATTCTCGCTACCACAAGCTCATTAATGCCAACGAAACCGCAATAATCATGAGCATTTCCGCTTGTAGGTGAGACACCGCGATGATTTATGAAAATACGAATTAGGTTTTAGTTTAATTTATTTTTAGTTCGTACGCGAGCAGTGACGAGGATTCTGAAAGTTGATGTTAGGGTGGTGCATGTTCGCAGACCTCTCGCCATTGGGTGATAAAGGCGGAAGCCTCGTCGATGAGCTCGGCGGTGGTGGTGGCGGTTCCCTCAGGAATGGCAAGGGCAAGAAAATGAGGAAACCGAGGACGATTTACAGCAGCCTGCAATTGCAGCAGCTCAACAGGCGGTTCCAGAGAACGCAATACCTCGCGCTACCAGAAAGAGCAGAACTCGCGGCTAGTCTCGGACTCACGCAAACACAGGTCAGTTCTAATCGACATTGAGACCGACAAACTAGAACGTAAGCTTCCCATGACAAAGTCGTGCAACGATACACTCATATTACTTGGTGGCATAATGACATAAATGGACTATGATAAACGGTTGAACGCAAAGAGAAACGGCTAGGTGTAATGACCCTTATTTTGAGTACTCTTTTATCGATAAAAATTTTATCTAAAAAGTGCTCATAAATCAATCAGAAAGTTTACACTGAGAATTTATAAATCAATCAGAAAATTTACACAGAGAATTATTAATATCTCACTAAAAATTATTGATTTTTTTATATCTTCTTGTTATTTTAACAAAAGAGAGAGTAGTAATAACAATATACACACATAAGATTATTATTATTACCACTATAGTAACACTTATTACAAAAATGATCCTTCTGATTATAATTATTTTACTATCTGATTATAGTGACAAAAAACCAAATACTTTCTTTTCAGTCACATTTAAAAAATCACTTTCGTCAACAGAAGAGAGTTCAGAATAAGGGTTCGTGAAGTAGCTTATGTTAGGCATCTATCTCAAAAATTCAAAAAATGTTTGCTTCAGTATCGAAGCAACGTAAATGCTGAAAATTATTAGGTAAAGTATTTCTCATTTAACTTTATTTTAGTATTTTAACTTGATCAGATATATGGACACCTTGTATATCTATCCAAAATTTTTTATAAAAATTTATTACAATATATTTCAATATGTAGCATATTTTACAATAAGAAAATTTGTTGTTCGTTCATTTCGATTCATTTGTTCATTTCGACTAGAATTCGTTTAAATTTGAGCTCATAGCCTAATCATTACCTAATTATCTACACAGAACTGTGTTGGTAGTACGTTTTTACCAAACGATAAAATGTCTGCGATGTGCATACTTTTCCGCGAGTAAAACGGGTTCTTCGCTCCCTGATATGCATTATCAGGAAATAACGTCGGAGAGAATCACATAAGGGAATGAATTCTGCAGGCGAATGTCATGTAGAGAAGTTGATCATGCTGTGTCAATTACGAGCATCACGATGAGCTCCAAATTTTATCGAAACGACAACGCGGCGCGCTTTCTCGAACAACGCGATGCACGGATCTAGTTGCACGTTCGGTCCAGGGTAACATGATCCCCAATGGACGGCATCTGTCAGCATTATCGGCACAAATGACTTTACTAAATCACCGATTCGCCACGCCCTGGACACTGAGGATAGGGTTGCCGTCAGTGTCCAGTGTACCGAGAGAGGGGAAGAGAGCGAGAGACAAGTTTGTGTGGACTAACGAGGTAGCCATAAATTTTCTCCCGGCGATCGCGAGTTTCGCGCGGGCTTTTCACACGGGCGGAGCTTTATACGCTCGTCGGCGAAAAACTTTCCGCCAATTATCCGTCGTATGGTTTCCAATTAACGATTTATTAGGAAGCTTGAGCTACATGGCCAGAAACTAATTGGGTCTGACCTCCTTGTCCCTCTTTGTCCACTATAAGTCGCTCGGGACACGACAATTTATTGATGATCCAAAAACTGAAACTAATTGAAGCGAATTTGCAAGAAGTTGCTTAAATTTTTTCAAGTCAGCTTGCGTGTGACTTCACATATTCAATAGTGTCTTATTAGTAAACAGCCATAATAACATAAGTGCCCATTATTTCTACTGAATTACGACCCGACGGAATTTTTCATAGAAAATTACGCGTGTCATTGTCCGATACGAGACGAGATGAAGCAATTCTCGCAGTTGCTCTTTGTACGTCTCTCACCCTTCGAAGAAGAAGTGCACAATCGTAGCGCGTATGTTACAGCGCGTAACTGCGTATCGCATAATCACGGGATAACTGGCTGTCGTAGCTAGTTGATGTCGTTGCAGGGGGTCCCGGACCGGATAATTTCATTAGTCGGAGCACCGCAGGAGTTGCTCCCCCTCCGTGAGCGAATGAATCGAGCATAACGCAACCTGATGGCGGTTGCTCATCAGGTTGTTTACTAAATATCTCTGTTCGAGGTCAGCGGTAGCCACTCAGTAGCCGAAAATTGAAATCATTTCTCAGAAAATTACCTCCTGTATCTTGTATATTGCGTTATTGTGATATACTTTACTTTATTTGCAACGTTGAAGAGAATAACGATATAGATCAAATAAAAGTGAAGACTGACATGTATCAATTTTTATCTATAATCGCTGTAACAATCCCAAATTTGTAGGTAAAAAAGCAGCTTTAATAAATTTATTTGATTTTATGTTAGATACCGCCGTAAAGCGTCTCGAAGTTTTCCAAAATGAAAGGAACGACTTATATCTTCAGCAGAGACTCTCTGCGCTACGTTACGAGGAATATTCGCCGCGCGATCGGTACAGCTCTTCAGGGGGCACCGTGCATAATCAGTAATCGCCCAATCAAGGCGTTCGAGCAAGCGCCTCTGCCTCTGCACTCTTGGCCCTGCTACCGTCGCGTTGGCTTTCTTGTCATCGCCACCAACATGGCGCCTTAGCCTTCAGACTCTTCCATCTTCTCTTCTTTCCTCGTCCCCTCCCTTCCGCACGTCACGACAACCAAGTCGTCCCCCCGGCAATCTCCCCTCGCATTTCCCCACCGAGTCTCCCCATTCTCCTTCTTCTCTTCCTCGTTTCCTTTAGCCTCAGATGAGCAAGAGCGAAAGAGAGGTATGGGAAGGGGAGAGGAGTGGTGAGGATCGAGGTGAGGCCACGCATCTCTTTTTCTCCGGGACTTCAATTTGAGGACGTGGTAGCGTTCGTGCCGCCGGTGTACACGAGGTACGCGAAGAGAGTTCGAGGAGGCCAGAGGGGGGGACTGAGGGACGGGAGAGAGGGGTGAGCAGGGAGTACTTGCACACGCGAAGTACATGGACACACGCTCTCGATCGCGCGGCTGTATACGTAGGGACGTGGGCACCAACACGCCCGTCTGCGTTCCTGCCACGTACCTTGGGCGTGGTGCTTCCTTTTTCTTCCTCCTCGCCGCGGTTAACGTGCCCGATCTCTCCTCATTGGCCCCGGGAATGCGAACACGTCGAAGCGAGATTCGAAAGTCGCGGGAGGGAAGCGCGAGGACGCGACGTGAATTCGAAATCCGACTGTGCTCACGTATACTACGGGATGCGGAGTTAGCATCCTCGTAGCTTTTACAACTTCGGAGACAGTCAAGCTGATTCAAGATGCGAAAACTTATAGATAAGACATGCCCAAAACGAATTAGAAGAAGAACAATGTTCATAGTCATACATCAGGGTTGTTCAATTGTTCACTTACCAATTGGACATAAATCAAAGTTGATCGGTTAAGTTAGATCAGGTTTGGTTTCATTGATCTTATACCTCATATTTAGCGTAAGTGATCGTCTAATATCGAATTTAACTTGTCATATATGAAAGTTCTGAAGCAAGGGTTGATTATTACTGCTACTAGTAGTACTAGTGAAAGCGAGTCGATACACCGGGAACTTTAATAATGCGTGGAATTATACATCTTACTGTTTCTTTTGATGCTTCTCTTTGCTGGTTGATCAAAGATTACCTGGCCAAGTCACTCGCACGTTAAGCAGATTTTTAAGTTAGGTAAACCAATGATCCAGAACTTAGAACACTAAATGTGAGGTATGAGATCAATGAAACCAAATCTGACCTAACTTAACCGATCAACTTTGATTTATGTCCAATTGGTATGTGAACAATTGAACAACCCTGATATATGACTATGAATATTGTTCTTCTTCTAATTCGTTTTATACATGTTGCCTCGCATCTTATATATAAGTTTCCGTATCTTGTATCTCTGAGTAGAAAAGAGCATAGTGACATTGCATAAAGAAGACATTGACATTGTCTACTTTAATGTATTTACAGAATCGATACTTTGTACTTTCTGTGAGACCGATTAAATAGATAATATATCAAGGCCATATAATAGTCTTCCCACAACCCTAATTTTTCATTTGTTCAATGCCAGTAACTCGTTAATGCTATTAAGTAATAAATCATAAGAGTCACGGGTCAATGACAACTCTTGCAGATGTTAGTTTAAATACACCAAACGTTTTCTCAAACGTCTCGAATATGTCTTGATATTAACTCTGCGATATAAACGAATAGTAGTTGCACGACTATAGAAGAGACTACAAGAAGCCGAAACAAAAAATACCCCATTGATAGCAATATTACAATGCAATAATTTAGTACTGCCATTATCATTGTCAGATAAATAACTTATTTGCTGGATAGTTATAAATGTATACTTTCGTTGAAAAGAACTGTTAGTATTTATATTTTTCTCTAAGATGAAGATCGCATAATGATGAAGACAAGAAACACAATTCGTGTTAATTGTAACAATCTGGAGACAACAGATGACTTATATATAGACCGATTATGGCAAAATAACCTCAATATTGTTCGCGGGATTCAACGCACTATAAATTCCATGATTGCACAAACTCCTAATCGAATTGTTCGTACGTGTTATACGCTACTACTAACATTTTTGTTAGAAGTTAATTGTTTTACATTTCTCTACAATCAGATATATTTTTCGTGATCGGGCGCCAACTAAACTGAAATGGCTGAGAGATTGAAGGGCATTCAGAAAACTTCCTTCTTAAAATTCATCCATATTATTTAACGAGTCGGTAAACGTTAACGTTAGGTAGAAAAATCCTTATAATATTTAAAACAAATTTTACAAAGCATATACTCAGTCCACTCATGCTCTGAAACTTTAGCATAAAAATATATGGCTTTAATAAATTCAAGAATATAGAACTGAGTTCGTAGCGATAGATATCTTTCCGCGATCAGATCATTTTTTGAATTTTCGAACGAAAAGAAATCGATTACACATTAAAAAGCTGATGTAAAACATTTTCAAGGTCCTCGGAGATCTGACCACCGTCACGTAGTTGGATAGCACGCAATACAGCTTCGCGGAAAAGTGCCGCACACAACATCATCGAAAACGCTGCTCATGCAAGTAG